TTCCACAGCCCCCAAATTCATTTATAATTGGGGCTCCATGTTAAACAATCGAGAAACTAAGATTATGCAAAATCGATACCGAGTCTAATTGCGCTTAATGGGTCTATTACGAGCCTCATGCACAGAGGTTTAAAGGCTTGCATTTCGGAAGCTCTGGAACCCTAAACCCTAAACCCTTCACCCTAAACCCTAAACCCCTAAAACCCAAAAAAACCCTAAAACCCCTAATACCCCTAAACCCTAAACCCTAAACCCCTAACACCCCTACAACCCCTAAACCCTAAATCCCTAAATCCCTAAACCCTAAACCCCTAACCCCTCGACCCTAAAAGCCCAGCGACTTTCCGAGATACCCTTCAAAAGACACCCCCAGGCCTGAAGATCAAGCCTTGATCCCCTGCGGCCCTGCATTCCGAGAGCCCTTCAGCCAAAAACCCCCTGAAAAGGCTGTAACTTTCAAGGGATCCTGCAAGGGGGTTCCCATAAGCCCGCCTTGAGGTTTTGGGAATACTTAGAGGATCATGGGACTTAGTACGTAGGTTATAACTGGGTTTATAAGTCCCCTCAGTGGGGTTATCCCAATTATAACCTACTTATATCCTTACTCACGAAGTCCCATGAGCCTTCAAGTAGGGTTTAGGGGCCTCAGAAATCAGAATAGGGTTTGGGGCCCCGTACACTACAATGATGAGAAGGAACCCCCTGAAAGTTTTAGGGTTTTAGGGGCCTTAGCAGTCAGAATAGGGTTTGGGGCCGCCGTATACTATAATTATAAGAAGGAACCCCCACGATAGTATTGGTAATTGCTTAGGCTCCTATATTCGGCCTTCAGTATCCCTAAACCCTAAACCGTGTGGGAACTGGGGTTTGGGGTTTAAGGGAAAGCGGGCTCACTACCTTTTCTGTAGCACTCCCTCTGACATCCCGGTTCCCGAACTCCCGAGCCAAAGCAGGCACCCCAAATCCCTAAACCCCTGTTAAACCCTGAAGACGTGAAGCACCCAAACCGTAAGGTCTACACTCTAAATTCTACAACCTAAACCCATCGAAACTCTAAATTAAAACTCCAAGCCCCAAAACCCCAAGACCCGAGCCCCTCAAGTTCAAGATCTGGACCTTAATGGTTAGATGGGGCTTTTGGGATGATGTATTGCAATCGAGCAAGATGGAGAACATACTGATGGGAATCTGCGCTGCAAATCCCCGTCGGTAGGCCTCATGTCGAGGTATGTCGGCTTGCGGCGGCCGTTGAACACGCCCTCGGTCACCTGGTTCAGTGCTCAAACATCATGGACTGCACACTAGTTGACAACACCGATCGTTTGATTATCGCTGGTCTTGCTTCCCAGCAAACCAGATAGAACAAGTGCTAGGACTGTGCGAAGAAGGAAAGCCGAACCGCAAACTGGTGTCCTTCCCGGAGTCATACTCCATACTACTGCTACTGTAACTAGGGTCGCCAAGGACTCCAGCATCCATGTCTGTAAGGTCTCACCAGGCATTCCGAATCCTGAACACACAACCTTCGGATAGCTGTTCAAGAACCCTAGAGTTCCTAAGTGTGTGCGGTCGCGGTGAGCCCTATACCCCAAAGCCAAAAGCCCAAGTTCCTGGACCACCAGCACTAATCCATGAACGGCGAGCCCTACTTAGAGGATCAGGGGACTTGGTAAGTAGGCTATAATTGGGGTTATAAGTCCCCTAAGTGGGGTTATCCTAACTATAACCTACTTATAACCTTACTTACTAAGTCCCATGAGCCTTCATTTAAACTTTGGGCCCTTCTCCCCGGAGGCTTCATCGCGATGGAGCATTGAGATACAGAAACGAAGGGGCCTTGTGCCTGGGTCATCTGGGCGTTTCCGAAACTTAGAGGGGCCTTATCATGGGGTCCTTATTATGGGGATCCTACTATTTAGGCTACTATATTAGGATCCCCTAATTTCGGAAACTACCATCTGACAAGAAAGGCAAGGCTTACTCTGACGGTAAAGATAGGGCTGCGAGCCCGCGGCCTAAGTTTCTCGGGGCGGGAAGCCAGGGAACCCATAAAAACCTGAACTAGCGTTTTCCTGGGTGTGGGGCTTGATGTCTCCCTAACCCTACAACTCCAAAACCAGGAAAGCCCAAACCACTGGCTGAAGAAAGACTGATGCAATGATACAACCCTAAAACACCTTATCATCCCCGGTAAAGCCCGATAGATTGAAGCCTAAACCCGGGACCCCGCAAAGTAAAAAAAATAAAGGGCCTTGCCAGACTCGTCGCGCGGATAGCGCCGGAAGCGCCACTCGTTCTTCAAGCGGTTGGACCTGAATAAGGCTTTGGATCTTAGACCAGGAGAACCATCTCAAGCCTGTCCTATGTTCCTCTTCGAAAGAGAAACGCAAGCGCCTTGCACAAATCAGGGCTCTTACCCGGTTTTCTGAGCGGCGCGTGTCCTTCCCAATACCTTGATTGGTTCGACACATCCCTGCGGCTTTGACCTACCAAGTCAAGACTCTTGCAGCCGTGGCCGTCGCTGCACCCGCCTCAGCCTCCAATTTTCAAAACTTGACCCCTTTGTGTGGAGAAGACGCAACGACATTGACAGGGATCCCCCTGGGAAACTTCGCGTCATCAGCAGAAGGTCAAGATGGAATTTTCAGGAGAGGAGTGTTTTGCTCCATCGGCAGAACTTCGTACTCAAGAAGCGATTCGCACTTCCGAAGCAACTTCAAAGTGGTATATGGGGCCAAAAGCACCTCCTCCTCATTCTGGTAGAAACTGATTTCCGCAACACTTCTCGCGCCCGAACATGTCGCTGGCAAGAGAAACTTGATGTTGAAGGGTGCGGCGAATTGTTTGGCGACAGCCGCGCTGTGCGATGTTGACAGGTAGTATGGCACCTGTACCACGCACCCCACCCTTAAACACTCTATGTCCGCTTTTCGTGCTTTGCTGCCCCGCCAGACCACACCCGGCAAGGTCCCACTGGGGGAACAAAAGAGATAGCAGTTGATTGCCCTGATCAGCGGCATGAAGTGCCTCAACTTCGTCGCATCGTCATGTCGCAGTGCATCCGCAAGAGGCTCGAACACTTCGTTCGATGTGTACAGGCAAACTGCTTTTGCGCATACACCTTGTGACCGTGCTTTGTCCACGTTCACATTCGCATACTTTTGGTTTGCTGCATAGAACTCTCGGAAGTGTCTTCAGGCCGAGACTTGTCAACCCTCGATCCACCCTGGTATAGCTTGCAGTAGTTTGAGTTCATGTACGTGGGATACTTTGGCCTGAAGAGCGCATCAGTAACAAAGCCGCGCAGGCGCTGACGACGGATCGAGTCTGTCTGAGCAACTACACTTTCTTTCCCCGACCACCACAACGGAACGATCAAGCCCATCAAAACTGGCATGAATCGTAGCGTCTTCCGGGCAACTCTCATTGTGAAAGTTGGGCTCCCTAGGGTCAGCTACCTTTTCGAGTCACTTCAAGCCATCACTGCATCGGTAGACACCGGACACTCGGCACAGGTTTAAGTTCAATTTCTTTAGGGTTTGCTTAGGGTTTAAGTTGGGGCTTGTTAAAGCTATTTTCAAGATTCTGAAACCCCTGGCTTTCTTGGGCCCACGCAACTTGCGCCAAGCTCTCTTCTCGGTACGCCGCTGCCGCATGCGCAGCTTCTTGTCTGGGCGGACCCTGCCGCTGGAAGTTTGGGGGGTTGAACAGGGTCCCTTTAAAGGGATCTATAGGGATCCTACAACGATATAGGGTTTAGGGTTCAGGGCAGGGGTTTAAGGGTTGTTTAGGGTTTGGGGTTTGGGGGTCAGGGTTTAGGGTTTGGTGAGGGTTGGGATATCAGGGTTTGGAGGGGTGGAGACCCCTTACAAAGACACTATGTCACTATGCGTCTCGAAGGGGCGCAAATTTTGCATCTCGGCTAGCACCCTCGATATTGTGGCCTAGAAAAGGGCTCTGGGTCACATTAATTAATACTTCTTGATGTCACAAGGGGCCCTGCTACTCCTACCTCTATATTACAGAAGGAGGGTTCGTTTTAATCGGGGGTCGGCATCAGAGTTCTGGGTTTGGTCCAACCAGCGGTTACAGGTTCCTTGGCTTTGGCAAGCTTGTGCCCCGGCCGACGTGGGTGCAGGGCCGCTGTTGTATGATTCTTGGCCAGAGATTTCCAAGCCCTCAACTAAGGAGTATACCGCTGAGTATACCTTGAACTACCAACTGATCTTTAACAGGATTTACGGGATGCTCCTTAATCGTCTCGCACCCTCGGAAAGGGCTGCTGAAAGTAATGACAGTTCACATTTCCCTTTGGGGATCCCTCTGAAACCCCTCCCCCACACCGCCCTCCACCGTCAAATCTCTTGAGAATCTGAAACTTGGTGAGATCTGCGAGTTGGACTCCCACGGAATCGCCCAGACACCTACTACAAAAGCCCGACTTATCAGAGGGGGGCTGGGCGCAATCGCAATCGTAGTATGAGCATATTTTGTATTAGGGAACCATCAGGAAGACAACGACTAACGATTCAGGTTCACATTTTCAGTAGTGCACTATGCGCGGGAAGAGACAAGATGAGGACCTGAGAAGCACTGCAATACCCGGCCTTTTGTACATTTTGGGATTAATGAAATTCTGGTGCTCCGTCTCTCGGTAGTCCTCCCAAAAATGCCGGGTGTTCAATGGCAGGCTGACAGATAAAAGCGGCACTGAAACAGCCGAGTCATTTGGAGGAAGATTTCATTGAGTAAAAGGGGTTGTGAGTGCGTTAACTGAGGATCGTCGAGGTACTTAAGAGAACTGCTACTGAAGAACGCTAGCTACTGAACCCTAAACCCCCAAACCACTAAAACCCTAAACCCCTCGACCCCTAAATCCCTAAACCCTAAGTCCCCTTGGCATGAGCCATAGGTAGCAGCCTCTGCTGGAAAAATGCTTCTGCTTCGAAGGCACTTGTTCCTACTGTACTGTCCAAGAATTTCACGGTATACAACTTTAGGGTGCTGGGGTTTAGGGTTCAGGGTTTAGGGTTTAGGGTCTCTAAACCCTAACCCTGCTTGAAAGAAGTATATAAGTGTCTGACTTCTTACAGTGATGGCAGATGCAATTCCTAGATGAAAGGATACTGAAATCTCTGCAAGCTGGAAGGAGACGTTTACGAAGCCTCTAGACCCCGACAGCCGACATGTCGAACCTCAAAGCCTAGATCGTAAATCCGCAATCCTGGAACCCTAAACCCTAAACCCTAAACCCTAAACCCCTAAACCACTAAACCCTGGCAAAGTGCACCACCTACGTACAGCCCAGTGTCTGGGACCATATTGGGCAAAAGCAAGAGTCGACGAGTCCTAATAGACATACCATCAATAAAAATTACGATTAATGGACGCCGAGCTTTCCCACGCCCGTCAGCAACAAAAACAATTGGCATCGCCCTAGCAGCGCAGCAAGACACTTATTGAAGCATGCACTTGTGAAGAATCGTCTTTGCACCACCACAAAGCAAGATCAGGCATCAATGCTCAGACTGTTATAAGGTTTAAGCATGGGTTGTCGAACTCAGGATACGGTTTTAGGCCAACAGAAACATTGAAGGCAGCATGAGCTGGGTTTTCGCATGCTCCACTAACGACTCGGCGATGACGACCACGACACTGCAATTGACAAAAGACTTCGGCCACAAGCTGCTGATCTGAAATATCTTCGAAAACACTCGGGCAAACACATTCACAGGCTGCTACTGCTACGACTCTTTTCCCTGCATGACCTTGGACTTCGGACTTGGACAATGCAGCAGAGCACGCTTCGGCGGCTACTGCAAATCTAGATTTAAAGAGTACTTGAGCTACACTGACTACAGTGACCTACACCTACACGTCACCGTCATCCTGAACAGAGCTGTCGCCACGACGAAGGCACGAGAGCACAAAGACCAACAGGTGGCCGAAAACAGGTATGCAGATAGAGTTTCCAGCCAAGCGCTTCACTTGAGCACTCGACAAAGCATTCGGACCAGTCAGCACTTGCTGTAAAGGGTTCTCAAAGCCAACTTCGTCAGCTACATGAGCATAGGCAGGGATGCCCATGACAAGCAAGTGTTCCTTTGCCATCATCTCTCGTTCCGTCAGCGGTCCGAAGCACCACACCGTGCTCGACCGCAAGAGCGCTGGAACTGTCTCTGTCACCTGGCCAAAAGACTCTGCATTCTGTCCAAGCATACATAAGCCCACGTGATACCCCAGTTTTTGCTTTTGAGCTTGGTAGGCATCGTGGCGGACCAGCATCGCAGGCGGCAGCAACTGGGAAGGTGACAGGTGATCGACGGCGGAGGCTTGGAATCCACGTTCAACTGCCCTCTCGGCATGATGCTGCTGCACCTCTGCATCTGGCGCTTGCAAATACACATCTCCACAAAGCCTCCTGATCCTGAAGAGCTGACCGATGCGAGACAAAGGTTTATCCATGTATCCCCACTGCCTCAAGACTCCGACGCAGAACTTGCGCTGACGAGTGCACGGCAAACCGAAATCGTCTGGGCCGAGGATGATAGATTGAAAGGTGTACAAATCAGAAAGATGAGCTGTTGCAGACGCCTCCTCATCGAAGTGGGACGTGCACTCAATGAATAGCAGATTCTCTTGCATCTGCCGACGTTCTTGCACCCACAGGACATTGGCTTGAATTCCTGATCCAAGCAGCCCGCTCTTGCTTCCCATGCACGACCAATCCAAACCTGAGTCGGAGAGGGAGAAAGGCTCCCGAAAACCAAGGCTGCCAAGGGCCGACTTCGGGTGTGGCACACATGCCGAACGAGAGAGGGATGTGACATGACGGCTGACAACAACACACTTAGAACAGGACTGAGCCTCGGACATGAGATTCCTGCTATTGCTACCGTGAGCATCCCCTTGTCCGCGTACTTCTTCAAACCAGGGATTGGGCAATCAGCTTTGTGACGCAAACAGAAGCTTGAGGCTTCCTCAAACTTGACATCGCGCATGCAATCCATCAGCTCCTGAATGAGCTCACGGCCGAGTGCACTTGCACTCTCGCGTTGGGCTTTCGAGGACACCTTCTTCGAAGTTGGATGCATCTTGGCTGCGGCTTGCTCAGATGCCGCCGAGCAAGCAGCATCCATTGCATCCCTGAGCGCTCAGCTGAAAGCAGACATTCATTTCAATGCTGAGTTGCACCACTCATGACGTCGCAGGTGCAAACATGGAACATGATAAGATGCTGCCCGGCTTCCTGCAAGGCTTCGGCACCCGGTCCAACATGTCGCAGAAAATGTGCTCATACTTCAGCGGTTCCGGTAGAGACAGCAAGGCTTGCTGAGCTAACGGGGCATAGTCGCACGCATGCAACGGCAGCACACACCTGGCACCACTTCGCAGCCATCCTGCCTTCTTGAGGTAATGCTCCACGAAAGAGAAAGCGATGCCTGGAGCATCGTAGCCAGAATAGTGTGTCACCAAGACCTCGGCACGTGGCAGTGAAGTCACACCAGGGTTTGAGTCGAGTTTGAATTGACACTCAAGGTCACAGACTCACAGACTCACAGACGACAAACTAAGTTTCTCCCCTCGTCGACTGGTCGCTGCTTCGCTGAACGAATTTGCCGATTTGAATCAGCAACGTGCTCGGCTCCAGCAGGTTCTTCACTGCTGTGCAGTGCAGTGTGCAGTGCACTGTGCACTGCGCACGTGCAATGCAGGATCCACTCACGCAAGGTGCGTGATGAAAGAACCCATGCACGGCAACTCTTATACACACGCCGATGCCAATAACGCCACAGAGTCACAGAGATTGGCGGCGTCCACCAGCAACGAGCATCCACATCGACAGCACAAAATGGCTCTGACGACTGCAGAGGCGAGGACACAAGACATTTATCTGGCTACGAACAAGTGAGGCCACACTTTAGTCCCGGTGCTACTTTAAGCATAGTACAACATATTATCTAGCCCTGACTGTAGCTGATACTGTACTGTGCCTGCTACCGTGCCAGCAACCACTCACACTGGCCCTGGCCTATCTGCATATCGGAGCTTTCGCGGACACTGTACAGAGCGACGGCGCCATCGAAAGATCTTTGCCCGTCCGGCATCACATCATTAACAAACTCAGCTCAAGCTGATGGGACTTTCGAGCCTGACTACTTGCCTACCTTAGCCTGGGCCTTCGCCTTGGCTGCAGTCGTAGTCGTAGTCGTGGGCGGTGTAGCACTTGCCTTTGCCTTCTGCTTCTGTTGAGCCATGGCTTCAATAAGCTTCTTGCCATTATCGGTCATGGCGCCTGAAGGAGCATCCGTCGCTGATAGTCTCAATCGCTTTGCCGGCGCATCAACTTCTCCAGCTGATTCTTCTCCGGCAGATGCAGTTGTCAATGTCGTCGACAATGGCGAAGTCTGGGGCGGTGGAGTCGCCTCTGGCCTTGTCGCCTGAGCGAGTGACTCATCGGGCAGGTTCGGCACTTCAGTCGTCGAAGCCGGCGTTGCAGGTGTCAGAGCAGCGGCGGCAGCCTCTTCCACGCCGCCGTCATCAGGCTTCTGCTGCTTCGCGCGCCGAGCTTCTGAAGCCCGTGCCCACTTGTCCGATGCTTCCCGTTTGCGTTTGAGCTCCGCCTCTTGCTCATCCATCTCGTCGATCTGCTTCAACGCGGCATTAAGCGCCTCGGCATTCTCGGCATCCTTGGCATGTTCCATGGCTGGGGCGGGTGGAACCTTTGCAGTTGGTGATGGTGACGGCACTCCTTGTACAACTGTTGCACGATTAACACGATCATCCTCATCACCGTCGCGATCTTCTTGCTTCGTCATGCCTCCGGTGGCAAGTGTGCAAAGGGATTGCTTGCACTCAAGCATCTGAACCATTCTGTTCATCAGCGTTGCATCCCGACCCTGGACAGTGAAGACCTTTGCGATGGCAGCCATGTCCTTGATCTGCAACTCGTGCTCAGCTGCCACCATTAGTGCAACACGGAAGCCCGTGACCTTCTCCACGCCCACTGTTGCATCCAACAGCACGAACCCGGCAGGCATGAACGTGATGGATTTGGGTCTAGACTCTGCGACACAGCAAATGGAGAGTAGCTGATCAGATTCATCCTCCGTTGCACTGGGCAGAATCTTGGCAAGAGCGTCTAAGGTCACTTGCTCGGCATTGTTGATGCCAAGCTCCTTCATCTTGCCAACAACACCGACACCTTCCGCCGCCGTTGCACCCCCACTGTCATTGTCCCCACCGTCCGCCAGCATCTCGGCCAGCTTGGCTTGAAGTGCCGTGAAAGCTGCAGCTGCAAAGCGCCGTGTACCATCTACTTGGTACCTCAAGGTGGAAGCCTGCTTGAACTCCGTTCCGCAGTAACGCATGTTCTCAGAGAAGGCATACGCACCAACAGTTGTAAGCAGTGCACACATCTCCTTGTCGCTGATCGCCTGCTGCTTGGGATCGATGGTCTGGCCCGGGGCATAGTTGTGCAAGGCATCCATAAGGTTTTGCATCTCCGGTAGGCTCATTGTTCCTGCGGCGTGCGACAAGTTCCAACGAAACACAACTAAACAAGCTCTTTAAACAGCACCCACCACCATCGCCACCCTCACCTCACCAACTCATCATCACAAAACTGCGGCTTCATGACAAGACCTAAACGTTTGTCTGGCTGCTGTTCATGGCTGAGTTTAAAAATTTTCTCGATGGCGACCTCAGCCACACTTGAACCCATCACCTGTCCAAAAGCATAATATTCACCGAGTCGACATGCACACAAGGTCAGACATGTTTGTATTAAGGCCACCCGGCCACCCGACGCCGAGCCACGAACCGGGCCTGAGGCGAAAAACCCACCCCCACCCCGACCCCCCCAACCCCCTCAACCCCCCCCCCCCAAGCAACGGCAACCTCGAACACGCAACGCTAAACAAGTGTAGCTAGTGTAGCTGCCTGCATTTTGTTTTGCAACCTGAAGCTTGAACCTTGAAGCCAGTGGCCTCGTCCAGAACCTGTTCGCTGGGACGAGGTCTGGAAAGTGCGCAGGAAGAAATTGAAGCGGGACGACGCCATCTCATCTTTCTTCACGAAGTCATCTAGGTCCGCGCAGCCTTCAACGATGTAAGGCTTCAGGGTGTTCAGGCCATCCCTCGCAAAGGCCCCTGATGTCATGTAGGCAGCTGCAGTTGCTTTCAACTTGGAGACAGCCTCATCGCACGTTGCATAGCGGACGAACTTGAAGATTGCGGGCACTGCCTCTGCTACGGGCTCTGGCTGTGCGCCTTTTGGCTTGGCAGAAGTGGCACTCTCAGCTTTGGCTTTGGCTTTCGCCTTGGCTGCGGCCTGCGCGACTTCCTTACGCACTCGGGCATCGCACGTCTTTTGCCTCGCTTTTCGTGCAGAGGCCAAATCCTTGACGGCTCTGTTCGCACACGAAAATAGATTCTTGACAAGGGTTTTGTTCTCTCCAAACGTCTTCAAGACCTGCCGCATTGCTTCCTGGCTGTCGGCCTCGTCAGTCAGGGTCTTGGCATCCAGGAACAACTGCAACCGACAAACGAGATGCTCAAACTCTGGGCATGGGAGAAGTCCATTCGCCTTGGCTTGCTCCTGGTAGGCCCTGAAAGTAGCCACGGCAGACTCGGCTTCTGCCTCGGTGCAGTTGGCAGAGTCGACATCCAACATAGCCCAGACTTCCACTGCATCCTTCCTCGTTTTGATCATGTCGACATACAACTTGTACTGCTCCTCGTCCTCGGCCGTGACAGTCTTCAAGGCATCGTAGAGCTTCGAAGCGCACTCTCTGCTTTCAACGATCAAAGTATCTTCCTCTCGGACCAGCTTGTCGTGCTGAGTCACACGCAAGGCTTGCATGTCCACCTTCCGCTTCTTCTTCTTTGAGTCAGCATCATCAGTCTCCTCAGCGTTGTTGGCAGCGGGCTTGTCTTGCACAGCCAACGCCTGCTGAGAGTGAACACCGCCCTTCTGCAGCTTGGACCCGTTGCCTGTCTTCAGACTAAGTTGAAGCCCGGCGCCGCCTGCAGCTTCGAAGACGCTTGAATTGAAGCCGTCGTGGCCGCTCGCGATGAGTGAATCCATCGCTTCGAGCTGGTCGGGTCGAGCATTCTTCATGGTCTTGCCTGACACAGTGTACCCGCGGGTGCTCTTGGTGCCGGAGGAGCCAACGACGTCGTCGTACATGTGGATGAGCAGTCGATCGGATCTGTCCTTGCCGTTCTTGTCACGGTTGTGCAGAGGGTCCGCGAACATGGCGTCCCACTTGTCTTTCGCCTCGACGGCATTGTAGCTGCCGCCCTCTGCCGTTTGTGCCCAAGCCAAGTAGTGGACTTCTGTCATATACCTGCAATGCGCTTTGTTGTTGACGTCGTTGTAGTGCTCCACGGTTTTGAAGTACGTGGTGAAGTCAAACGTTGCGCGAACTTTGCCTCTACCAGCTGCTGGGCATTGCTTGCGAAACTCTAGGATGAGTTTCTGATATTCGGGGCCACCCTTCTCCTTGATGCTCTTGAACTGTGCCTCCTTCTCTGTTCCTTTCACTTGTTTGGCTGCTGCTTCGTCAGCCCGTCTGCACTCTAAACAAACGCACTGGTTCTTCTTGGGAAAACACTTCCTGCACAGCCTTTGCACGCAGACTCTGCATGTCAGCATGTCAGAATCCTTTGCAGGTGACTCAGATTCCAACTTTTGTTCATCCGAGCCTCTCGCTGATGGCGCCGATGCCGGTTCTTGAGCGACCAGCTCTTGCTTGGTTGGAGATGTCACAGGAGAGACCGCCGGGACCTCCTGCTTGCTTCCAGCCGCCTCCCCCGTTGGCTCAGAGGGGGCTTCCATCAGCATCACTTCGTTTTCATCCTCCAAGACATACGCCATGTCGCTGGAATGGCCCGGCTTTCCCGAAACCTGCGACGCAACAGCGCCTCACACTGCCTCTGAAACTGAAAGCCCGAGCTGCCGCCGTCACAGGAGTCACAAACAAACCAACAACAATGCTCACGCAGATGCACTTCGTGGAAGATCAAGATCTTCTGGCCCAAGCGCTTCACGACTTCTACTTCTGACTGACTGACGACACGTGAGCAGAGCAGAGCTGAGGAAGGACAATGCAGAATCTGAGTACCCGGCTATCCCTCCGGAGAACCATTGTATCAGATTCTCACGCTCTGCAACACTGATGCTGGAGACGGCTGTCTGTGGCCATCCGAAGCATTCTGCCAAAGAAGCCGGCCCAAGTTCTTTGAAGGTTGAGCCTCAGGTGCTGCCGAAAACAAGGTCGCAGCCCGCGGTTGTATTGTGTTGTTGTCAAGGGAGGCGAATATGCACCACCAAACGCACCGCACATCCCTCAAACTCAAACCCCCAGTTTCGATTCCAGACCAACGACCCGCTGAAGGCAGGGTTCCAACAACCTTCCACAACATGGCTTTGCCACGTGCCGGGCAACAACTATCGTCTTTCACAACCCTAAATTAAGCCCTGCTATAGTAGTACTCCCGACAATCACGTTTGCAAGACACGGTTGCTTTATGGCCTGTTGCACTGCCTGTGATGCGAGCTGACTGACTGCTGAGACTCCCGCACTCTGCCCCATAAGTCACGCTCTTCCGCCGTCGTTTGGTCTCACCCGCACATCCCACCTTGCGTTCAGCTGCGACTCGACTGGACTGCCTAACCACTGGAGCTTCTAACTTCTAATCCTAGCGAACAGTAAGCCCACCACCCCGACATCATCTTGGAGCACTGCGCTGGAAGTCTGACTGCTGGAGGATCGGACAAACTCCACATCCCTCAGCAAATCAGTAACCACAGCCAGCATTGTTCTTGGAGTATTCCACTTTTTATGGCGACTGCCGTATTACCAAGTGCCCGGCGTGCTTCCAGACGACACAGAAACACTGGAGATGCTCGAGTCTGCAGCGCATCTCATCTCTGCTCCATGGATTCGCTTTCACGAGACTGAAGTTGAAGCATGAGCAGCTGCATGATACTGCAAACTAATTCTTCAAGTAGCAGCAACCTTTACAATGTCTATTGTGCGACCATGGCCTGAAGTTCCTGAAGGTCACTGACCCACTGTAGCGACACTACAAGCACACAAGCTTCAAGCAGCCGTGTCAGTTTCACGTCAACGCCACGCTGTAAGTTAGCTTCGTCTGTTGAAGCTTGCACGATTGTGATGTGGCACATCTCTGACACTCTGATACATCTGCAAAAAACAGCTGGACATGACATGTGACACAAACTCTGCACAGCTCACGCTCCACATAACTGAGTGTTTGTTTGCGGCAGTGCGGTGGTGGAGGTGGTGCTGGTGGTGGTGGAAGGGGGTCACGACGGTGGCAGTAGTAGCAGCAGTAGCAGTAGCAGTAGCAGTAGCAGTAGCAGTAGTAGTAGTAGTAGTAGTAGTAGTAGTAGTAGTAGTAGTAGTAGTAGTAGTTACGAAAAGTAATTGCAACGAAACCTTCCTCAGAACTCAAGATACGTTACAATTGCAACGAAACCTTCTCCAGAAATTCAAGGAGGTACGTTGACTCCATGAATGCCAGTTGTCGTCGTCGTCGTAGTAGTAGTAGTAGCAGTAGTAGGAAGAGTAGTAATTGCAACGAAACCTTCCTCAGAACTCAAGATACGTTACAATTGCAACGAAACCTTCTCCAGAAATTCAAGAAGGAGGTACGTTGACTCCATGAATGCCAGTTGTCGTCGTCGTCACGAATAGTCATTGCAACGAAACCTTCCTCAGAACTCAAGATACGTTACAATTGCAACGAAACCTTCTCTAGAAATTCAAGGAGGTACGTTGACTCCATGAATGCCAGTTGTCGTCGTCGTCGTCGTCGTCGTAGTAGTAGTAGTAGCGTCGCTTCCATCAGCCTGCTGCGCGCGCCTTATGAGACCACCCTTGCTTCGCTTCCATCAGCCTGCTGCGCGCGCCTTATGAGACCACCCTTGCCGTCGCTTCCATTGCCAGAAGCACGTCCGGAAGAAGCATAGTAGGTATACGTTACAATTGCAACGAAACCTTCTCCAGAAATTCAAGAAGGAGGTACGTTGACTCCATGAATGCCAGTTGTCGTCGTCGTCACGAATAGTCATTGCAACGAAACCTTCCTCAGAACTCAAGATACGTTACAATTGCAACGAAACCTTCTCCAGAAATTCAAGGAGGTACGTTGACTCCATGAATGCCAGTCGTCGTCGTCGTCGTCGTAGTAGTAGTAGTAGTAGCGTCGCTTCCATCAGCCTGCTGCGCGCGCCTTATGAGACCACCCTTGCTTCGCTTCCATCAGCCTGCTGCGCGCGCCTTATGAGACCACCCTTGCCGTCGCTTCCATTGCCAGAAGCACGTCCGGAAGAAGCATAGTAGGTGACACTTCTTCTTCTGTGAATGCATATACCGGCTTTCTTTTCTATGTTGTACAGTTGCCGATCCTATACAGGCATCACAGATAGACCTATATCCACAGTAGTCGCTGCTTGGGGCTGACGGCTGACGGCTCGGGCGACTTTTATTTCATGAACTTTTGCTTGAGTACGCTGGGGAATCCAACATTCGAGCATGCTTGGGTCTGCGGACCGGTGCTCCGACGGAGGCTTCGCTAAAGGCGATTCTTCAATCTTCTATCCGGGCTAAATGCGCTTCCGCGAGAAGCCGGCACTGAATTGCGTCGCCGTGCCTCTTACGCTAGGACGCTTCTGAGCGTTTGCGATCCGCAAAGCAAAGCAAAAGTAGTAGTAGTAGTAGTAGTAGTAGTAGTAGTAGTAGTAGTAGTAGTAGTAGTAGCAGTAGTGTTCGGGCGGTGGGGCTGTCCATTTACAGCAACTTGGAACTTAGAACGCTTTGGCAGTGGAAACTGAAACTGAGCCTGTTGTATTGGGTTGAGGAAGAGCAGCCGAGACAGCCGAGAGTAAACACCGGCTTGTCTTCGTAGTAGGTTCTGTGTTCTGATTCTGATAGTTTCTGCGACTCTGCGACTACAGACCAAGAGACAAAGAAAGTTGACTCAACTCTACACTTAGTTCAACACTTCGAGACGAGACTTCGGGGCGCTTCGACTGCGACTTCAAGACTTAAAGGCTTAAAGACTTAAAGACTAAAGACACATGAAGTCCATGAAGTGCACGATGTCTACCCGGGACTCCGGGCCCGGGACCCAAGGCCAAGACCCAAGGCCCAAGACTCAATACCGTCAAGTCAAGACCCAAGCCACAACTCTGTTCGAACTTCGAAGTCATCATATGATACACCGATAGGTTTACTTACTCAACTTTACGCACTCACACGCAACGCAACCCAACTCAACATATTTCCACAGCCTGGCCACTTGACGGACCTGACCATATAACTGATCTGTTAAATCTACTGAATCATGTTGATTCTATTAGATCTATTGCACTGCAACTTCTGCAACTTTGTGTATTCCTCGAGCAAGAAATCCGCTGGCTTGCGCAACCCACGCAACGTTGATCAGTTGTTCCTGCCCACAAGATTAGGAATTTCTTTAAACAAAGCAAAACGCAAGAGAAATCGTCTGCTCTGCTCATTTCGGCAAGGACAAGTCGAAAAGATATCTCGCGACCTCACGACGCTGGGCTGGACACCCTGTGACCAGCCAGGGCCAGGATGTGTACCTGGAGGGATCCTGGATGCCCTGGGATGGGCGGGGAGAGAACCGGGGAGAACCGGGGCCTACTCTAAATGTAAAGGACTGGGAACCGGGGAGAACCGGGCAGACCCCTGCCCCAGGCCGTGTCCGGGATCCGAAGCCGACCCCCGCCAGGCTCGCACCGGGTCCCGCCGGGTTGGGGCACATCAAGCCTGCCACCGGCTGGAAAAACAGCTTTGGCAGACGACCCCAGCTTAGGTTTGTGTTTTGTGTTTCACAAAGTTGGACAGCACAGGACCACGACAGAGTTCTACGTAGGTGCAGTCTTGGGGCCAGTTTCGTCGTGTCACCGCAGAGTTTCCAAATCGCATGGACAAAAACGCAAACTGCTACGCATGATGCCTGCTGCTGGAGCTGAATTGAACCGAACGTGCTACTGCTTGCCAAACCTGCCAATCCTGCCAGTGCGCCAGGCCTATTCGAAAGACTCTGGGTCCCCCGACTGAGCTTGTTGAAACGGCACACGAGGACTGCACACTACAACGGACTACAAAGTAACTAGTAACTAGCGCATATCACAGAACATGCAAACATACTTGGACTCGGACTCAGACTTTGACATGCAATGCAACCCATGTTGCCTTCTGGGACAGCACACTGTGGCGTTCGGTGTTCTGATCTGAGACAGCAGACTACCTACGTCTCTGCTCTGCGCAACTTCGACCCTGGAAGCGTTGGTTTTGCAGCAAACGAGTTTCCTGGCTGGACATGGTCGTTGACACACAACACAGTCTGAAGAGCTCCGCTTTGCAGACCTGGAACGCTTACGCTCCGAGGAACACCTGCAAATCATCCTCGGTAAGCATACCTTGATCGAGCTGTTCGGCTTGCAAATGATCGGGACGCCGCGGCAAGCCCATGTGCTCTTCTCGGCTGAGGCAGGCCGCTGCAGAGTTGCACCAGTCATGCAATCGATCAAGAGTTGTTTGCTTGTCAGATGCTTCTGACACATTCAGCGATCTACTGCAAGCTTTGCTGCCTGCAACATGGAAAGGACATTTCGTGGACCACCCACCAAAGCGGTTAGTCTCTCCAGGTCTTCGCCACGTGATGTGGAAAACTCCCCATTTGTGGCTGTCTTCAGAGACCAACCTGGGCCCTGCTGCCACCGCCGCTGCAGCAGCAGGCCCATGGTGAGAACTGCTGTCTGAATTGCTGGAATCCCCTGAACTCGAGGAGCTGCTGTCGCTGCTACTGCTACTGCTCCCACTGCCACTACTGCTACTGCCGCCATCATCGGCATCATCCACAGCGTCAAGGCATGGAGGCATGTCATCCGAGCAGGGCGAGCTTTCAGCACTGTCTACTTCGGACACGTCAACGAGGGCAGCGGCCGCTTCAATCTCTTCATCACCGTCAACGACACCACTGTCCCCAGCAGTGTGCGGATCCTCTTCCGGCAACGGCTCTGGGCTGCCAGCATCGCAGTCCTCAAGTTCACACTGCTGGCTTTGCTTTCTTCGAATCTTGGCAGCGCGGCCCCGACCCGCGCCCTTCTTCCCTGTCCGTTTGCGTTTTGCTGGAGCTTCTGGCAGAGCTGCAAACCCATCATCATCCTGCAAAGCCTGGAGTTTCAACTTGCGCACGACGTCCGGAACACATGTCCCACGGGACTCGACGAAACCCTTGTATTGGGCAACCGACCAACTGTGCATCACAGGAAGAAGCGGTGGATCTTCCCGGCCCTTCCACACAAGATCGGCAAGCGCAAGCGAAAGCAAGTACCATCGAGGAGGGGTTGCAGAGCCGCTTGAAGACAAGAAGAACAACTTCTGTGCCTCGCTGTCAGCTTCAGAATATGGCGCTTGCAAGGACAACTGCTTCTTGCTGCACACTTCAGGTTTCCAACCATGTTTCTCCAGCAGCATCCACGTTTGACACGGATGCTGGTCGAGCAGGGCATCTTCCGAGCAAGACTCTTGCAGAGCACACAAGGCCCGTGGCCGGCACAGCCTGAAAAGCATCTGCATTTGTGACATCCCTGAGCGAGTCAATTGCCAACCAAAGCTTCCCTCGCAGACCTCTTCGCTTGTGACGAGGCCTTTCGCCTCGGCATCCACAAGCTGCCTTCCTAACTCCAGGCCGGCTTCGCTGTCTGGAGATGGAATCTGGAAGCGAGCAGCACGCCCCTCAAATGCACCGAGCTGCACCAGCTGACCAAGCAGCTGTTCGGAAACGCCACGCAGTGTGTGTTCATGCACTGTGCTGAAGTCCCAAAGCATCAGATTGCCAGCCAAAGCCGACCGCGCTCCCAATGGCACAGTGGTGTCCAAAAGAAACGTGCTGGAATCCTTGGTGCACATAACTGGGCACGCCTCTACCTTGGCAGCTGTGTCAGAAATCTCAAGGCAAGCATGGCGAGTAACGGCAATGTCCGAGGCTTTCAGTTTCTGCCCCACTGCAGGGGCCACCTGCTGCATCTTTTGTCGCGATGGTCTCTTATGAACCACTCGAAAAAAAGATGGCATCTGCACGGTGTCAGGCTCAACTGCTGACGTCTGTTCTTCAGCCGCAGACACTGCAATGACCGCAGCATCCTCACATTCACCACAATCATCTAGCACGTGCAGCAAGGGAAGCGTCGGCTTCTCACATGGAGCTGCTGCCGCACTTGATATAACACTTTGCATGGGCCGGAACGTCTTGCCAGAAAGTGCAGCTGAACTGCTGCCACTGCGGTCTGCTGCAAGGGCGGGCACTACAGCTTCTGCTTCTGCAAGCATTGATTGCTTCGGCGGTGGGCGCTCCTCAGGCACGTGCATGGAAAATACGTACGTCTCAACATCCTGTTCTCTTAGAAAATCGAAGAGCAGGGTTTGAAATAACCAGTCTGGCCTGTCTGCGGAGTCCAACTTGCGAGCAACCAGTTTCTTGGATCGCTGCTTTTCGCACTCTTCTCGCTTTTGCTTCTCTGTTTCTTTGGCATTCTGCACTGCCTTGCGTGCACCCCGCAGATTCAGAAACTGTGACTCAGCATCGCATCTGTAAATAATGTCACAAGCAGTTCCATTGGTGACTTTGAGACCGGCAGACTGCAGCCTCAGGAGCAACGGATGTTGCTCAAGTCCAAGGCGCGGAAGAGCGCTTGCAACATTTGGAATGCTTTCCAAGTTCTCGGCCAACAAGTAACCTGCGTAAACAGGACCTTCGTTCAGGTAGCGCTCAATCTCCGGCCCTCGCAGGGCAAGGCTGATAGCTGCTGGGCCACAGCGTGGGGCCCTCAAGACTTCCCGCTGTGTGCTGGCATGTGGGCCCTCGATGACATGCTCTGCAACAGGAATCAATTTCAGGATGCTTGCCACTTTTTGAAGCTGACTATGTCTCTCAAGCGGCTCCCCGTTCGCAACCCGCACCATGCTATCATAGAGAGGGCTTCCAGGGGCACAGCACAAGTTGGACACCCTGTGATGCAATGACGGGTCAGGCTGGGCAGCGTACTGCTGCAAGCAATCTCGCGCAATTTCTTGAACAAGACCTGCGTGCTGGGAAGGCAGCCCGAGGCCACACAGGCGCAGGGGCAGTTTCCGCCAGGCGTTGAACTTCATCTCTAACACGTAGAGAAGATGGTTTTTGCCACCTTCGAAATCGCCTTAGTCTCACTTTACTTCACTTTGGACGCAAGGCAAGGCTTTGGGGTTGGTTTGGATCGTGAGCCATCCAGTCAGCGGATGTGCGACACTGGTGCGGGGTGTCCCGTCGGTCCAGTACTAGTGGAGGTTCGTGAGTTCGTGGAGTCCTGCAGCCTGGAGGTTTAAGTGGAGCCTGGGGCCTGAGCCTGAGCAAGGACGCCAAAACCCGACTGGCTTCCTGAAGTCACTGATGTCTGCTGCTGAATCCCATACCCTGACCCTGCAAAAAGAAATGAACGACGGGACAAATCAACCAAGGGGGTCTCCGACTAGAAAAGAATGATGCTTTGAAAGAGGCCTCCGCTGTGCTAGGGCTCTGACGCAGAAGTTCTGCACGCTGCTCTTCCGTCACGCTTTGGCAAGCTGCCAAAACGAAAGCATAATGGGTCTGGCTGATCGTTTGGAAATTCTGAACAAGTTTGTTTGCTGCAAGTTCTGGAGCGCGTTTGCCTTTCCCTGGGCACGTAAAGGATTGGTCGCTGGCTGGCCGCCCCAATTCTGCATTCACGAGGGCCTGCTGTCGGAATCCGGAAAGATGCGCGTGCCCGTCAGTGGGGTGGCAAGGACAGCCCTTAGCCCAACCCTCAACGGCCCGAATGCTCTCCCCCAAGTGAAAGATCATCTTGGCAGTAGCCCAAAACATGGGAGACCTCAGCGCTGCGTCAACTTGGTCCAGAGAAACTGCATTCTCAGAATCTTTCTGAACATGTGCCGGTGCATCTTCGTCGATGCCATCCCCACCCCCCTCACCGGCACTGGGCGGTGCATCAGATAGATAAGTTTTCAAGTTCCACCCGGCAAGCAATGCATGTTCCAAGCCCAGGATGTACTCTAGCACATGTTGTGTGATCAGCCAACGCCACTCGATGGGCAGCGGGCATCCCGTGTTGAAGTAGTCTGCGAACATTGAAAACCGAGTCCGCCTACCGAAACACGTGCTTTTCAGCCTCTGACGATAGTGGGCATAGTGCAAGAAGCGAGCTACAGCTTGCAGCTGTGGCTTGAACGCTTGCCAGACACCCATGCGCTCGTGCACCTGCGATGTTGCATTGGCCAATATGTGAAGCACACCACACACCACAAGGGTATGTGGAAACATGAAGTCGCCATCGTCAATCTTCTCATCGCACGGGCGTTCGTCATCCATGTCATCTTGAACGATGTCTGTGACAGGCAAGTCTGCTACAGACAAAACATTCATGTCAACTTTTGGAAAATCAGCGAGGCCTGATTCGACTCCCATGTCGCTCGTGAAGGAAACAGTGCTAGCCAGCGTTGCTCGTAGGCAGTCTGCTGTCAGCGTCTCAAGCCGCAACGAATGCAGAAGTGCCGCCGCCTTGTTGGGCAAGTCCGTGGCTTTGCTTCCGAGAACAACTGGGACATGCATGTGTCTGTCGCACGCTTTCTCCAGAAGCTCGAGGCTTTGTCTCCTGCGGAATGGAAGACATATAATACACTACACGGAGTCATGGAGTCATGAGACGGAACATCAGTTATGGAGCTGGGACTCCAGGCTGGACCCGGGATGTTTCGACGATAACGATATTGACCCAACTCCAAACCAGTAACCAGGCCCTCGAAGCCTCCACAAGTTCAAAATCAGACGCCTCGCCTCTTCTGAGAGCATTGAAAGCACGCCTCCGAAAGCTCTCCGGCTTCATCAAACTCACGGTCAGGAGACGCAGTAGCTGTTTCTTGTAAGAAATCCATGGCACGCGCAGCACGAAGCAAACCTGTCACTTCAATGGAAGACGAGGCGGAAAGAAACCAATCGCGGCCACCTTGCGGACTGGAGTCGGCAAACCTGAACGAATCATGTCAACCGGGGAGGTTATGGCTAAAACATGCTAAAGCTTCAGACGTCAGGACTCACGACACACAGGAGGGCAGAAGTGCTATTAAAGTATTGAGTCCGAACGGACAACAACCAGCCAGGGCCCGGACATGTACCGGCATCGGAGGCCTGCAAGGGTCTCGGCCCCGGCAGTCTCGGCTTCGCCCGAGTCTGTGGACACCCAAGATGCCCACGTCGGAAACAGCATCTTGGAATCATATCGCAAGATGGACAATGCACCCGGAAGCGAGTTTTGCCCCTGCATGCAAAGCATATATGAGATGTCAATTCTTGCCTTGGCCCTTTGAAGGGTCCACGCAGACGGGAGGTTCTCCACGACAGTAGGGCCTTCACCAGAAGGGTCACTTGACTTGAAGAGCAGTTCGTCTGCCACGGCTGCTGGCAGAACAAGGGCCATGGAACGCTCCACTGCTCCCTTCATGGAATGCAGGCTCCGAACTTTCAAGGAGAGCCGCCAACAATCCAAGAGGCACTGCGCTTTGTAACTCCAACCGCCCTTGGCTCTGCCAGTTCGGAAGCGTCCTGGGTCATGGACCGCTTCCAGCTGCACCGCCCAGTCTTCCAACCAAGTTATCCACTCAATGAGTGCTTCTTTCTTGGTCATGGAGATCCTCAGCAGCTATTACCGGACCATTCCACGCAACAGAGAGACTCGAGACATAGGCAGAGCAAGACAATCGAAGGAGTACGGAAGAAACTGAAAAAGCTCAAGGTTTGAAGGCTGCAATTCAAGAACCAGGCCCAGGAGGATCTGGTTTGTATACATTCCTACGACGTAGGACTGAGACTCTGACTCGCAGCTGTCTTCTAGTACGCCAGAAGGCAGCTCACTTGCATCACCCACGTCGTGCTTCAAGATCAGCTCAGACCACGACCGCAAATCGTTGGCCAATGTTCTGAAAGTGGCAGGGCTTGCAAAGTCACTGGAAGCCGAAGCTTGTTGGGGCTTGGTTGGTCTAGCAGTAGCTTCTGGTTCCGCCGGGCAAGGCGGTGGAAAGTTCTTCAAAGGTCTGACGAAAAACTTGCTCTGCCGGCTTCGCACGCTGAGGACCCGCCACTTTCCAGCCAACTTAGCTCACGTGAGAAGACTGGACATTGGACACTCAAGACAAAACCTCGCTTCATCACGAATGACCCCGCTGTAGCAGATCACAATGGCAACTTCAACTCCAACAGCTGAAATTAAATTAAGGGCATCTGACGATCGTTGGCGGCGCTGGGGCTGAGGACTCGGCAATCCAAAGCATACGTGCACACCAAAGGGCAAGCAAAGCCAGGAAGGGCTTCTCGCAAAAGAACGCCGCAGGCTCATGTCCATGTCCGTCAACTCCTGAACCGGAACCGTGATTTGGGAAACATCTTACGATCAAAACTTGCGGACCTACAAGCTGCAAACTGCAAACCATCAACATAACCTTAGCCACCTGTGCACAGGTTTCGCACTGCGTCTCCTCTCTGACTAGCAAGCTCTTGCACCGTCATCCCAGCAGGTCTGCAGCGTGTGGAGCGCAAGTCTTGCAGGCATTTGGTCGCTATAGGGAGCCACGCGGACCTCCAGCGAAAGCTGCGAAAAATCTCAGGAGATCACGGAAGGTTGATGCACAGATCACTGCAACTCTATACGCACAGGGACAACGAGATGGGCGTGGTAGGGGACTGCACTTCACGTGGATCTAGCACTCCGGCCTGCATGCATCTGAAAAGCGCTTGATAGGCATCACAGGGCGCTCGAACACGAAGACGTGATGAATTGTCATGAAACAAAGATCCTGGACCCGGTCGCCCGCTGAAGAGTCGCGTGATGCCGCTCGCATCATCAAGTCCTCCTGACGGATAAAAAAGCCAAAGGCTCGGCTCGTCTCGTGAGCGAGGCATTCTACTAAACTGCATGTAGGATGTGGGAAACAACAATCTGTTTGCTGAACGTTTGTGTGTTTGTTGTACCGCACCTCAAATCTGCCGGTTAAGAGAGGAAAGCCTGTTTATGAAGACTGAAGAACACCAGAGCTAAGGGCTCGCTGCCTGCTTCACTTTCGTTTTATATACAAGCCAAGCCCTTGCAGGCAAGCCCAAAGATAGCTGACTTACGTATTGGCAAAACGAACCCTTTCATGAAAGCCCCAGAAATTGGCCCAGAAGCTGAACCAAATCACTTAGTCTGAATTTCTTAGTCAAAGCAGTCCTGCTTCGTCAAAACGGTCAAAGTATCAGGAAAGCATTTGCCAGGAGAAATGATTGCAAAACCATGCAATCGTTCGAACTTCTCCGGTTCCTGGGAAAAGTTGACAAAGGCATGCTTCTCCCAAATCAACTTTCAACGCCAGCAACCACAGATCGGTTCTCGCAGGCCAACTGTCTGTAGCTGCAGCTGACAGCTGACTCAGAAAATCACTTGACGACGCGCAGGCTGTGCGAGCTATGAGAACTGAAGCCTTCAGATACTTAAAAAAACCTCGCAACAACGCTCCAGCTGCAGGCTGCAAAAGCAATCACACCGTCCGTCTGTCAGACATAATGTGCTGCCCAACGTGCTCAAGCCCCCAGTGCCTCCGGCCTCCGGACTTATCTACAATCGACCGTGCTTGCAAACCACAACAACTACAACCACTGACAACTACCACCAATTGCAAGCCAGGCTCGAGGTCCTGCATAATATTCTTCACAGTCTCATGACCAAGGCTAGCCTTCGCTTCCGACGTCTCGAGCACGTGGGAGACCTTGACTGGCTCAATAGCTCAACGACCTGTTCAAACGTACTCTGGTTTCAGCTTCCGGCTTCGACTTCACTATGCCTAAGCCTGCGCCTGATGCCAAACAGGTTGTTTCAATACAGTTGCAGCTTGCTGGCTGGCTTATGTTACGGCTACAGCGGTGAAACAATGCGACAATTTGTCGGTTTAGGCTTAAGCTTAGGCAGCTGAGTTTCAAGCTTCAAACTTCAAACTTCACCTTCCAAAGGCCGCATGCCGCATGCTGAGTTTCAGGCTGCACGGCTCTGCACACGCACCCATGAAGACTTCGTTTCGGCACGATGCCCCAACCTCCAGATTGCGAACTCCAAGCTGCAGCGATTCAGCGAATACTGCAGATTCCGATGAATGCCAACGCCCTACAGTAGCTGCTAGCTAGCACTGCAAGCGAGCGTGGCGAGCGAGAGCGAGCGAGCGAGCGAGCGAGAGAGAGAGAGAGACAGAGAGAGAGAGAGAGAGAGAGAGAGAGAAAGAGAGAAAGAGAGAGAGAAAGAAAGAGAGAGAAAGAAAGAGAGAGAAAGAAAGAGAGAAAATAAGTTAGCTTAGCTAGCGGCTGGTGGTTTTTGCCACGCTGGCGACTTGCAGATTTGCAGCGATCAGTCATGCATTTATGAGGTTTCTTTTGCCGCCATAGGCCATAGGCAAGAAAAACATGTTGGATCAAAAACGCTCCCGCCCGAAGCGATGTGGATCCAACATAATTTTGTTTAGGCTCCCGCATCTTGGTTTAGAGTCTTGACTCTAGGGTCTGAGTCTAGAGGTATTTGCAACTCAGGCAAAGACTACCTGGTTCATTCACAGACACAGTGACACACACACACACACACACTACGCTACACACACACACACTCACACACCCACGACACAGTACACACACACACAAGGACAGGCACGCACGCACGCACGCACGCGAGCACGCACGCACGCACGCACGCAAGCACTCACGCACGCACGCACTCTGACTCTCACACAAGCACGACATCATCCACCCCGCCCCACCCCAGAATCATATCATGAACCCGGACAACTGGCACAAATTGCTGAGTCTGCTGAATCGAAGATGCTTCAGATCTCGATTCCTTCAAATTTCAGATGGATTTGATAGCGCAGGCAAGAGACCACACAATGCCAGGTTCCATCTCAGCACTGAAGTGCTGCACCAAGCCGAATACAAGAAGCGCTGCTGTTGGGCACATTGCAACACAGGAATTGGCTTTAGGGCGTTGACCGGGCGCTGGGGCTTAGGGTGTATAGGGCTGCAGTATGGGTTTAGGACGGATGGTTTAGGAAACTTATGCATCCGTCTCAGACCGTCTCACGCAAGCCGCAAGCATCACTTGGAACTTTGAGCAACCTGGAAACGCGGACGGCCCAGAGGAAACAACATCTCGGGCTGCATCTAATTGTGAGTTGTGACAAACGATGCGAACCCGCAGCTTCATGCTAGTATGAACGTGCCATTAATGGAAAACTGCAAGTTCCAATGCCAAATCGGCACTGCTGTTGAGCTACCAAAAACAATTATCTACAGCGAGCGCTCTGGCAAGGTCAGCTATACTAACAGAGCCGATCACAGCACTTTCGAACTCGTATCTCTTCGCAGAAATCTCGAAAGATGCGACCAAGGCAACCAGGAGCCTTCTTCTTTCAAGAACAAAGAAACCGGTGCTAAAGGATGTCAAAACCCTCCAAACCAAAAGCCAGCTGAAAAACCAGCGTGTAGGACCTTCGAACACGTATTTGTCTAAAATAACCAGGAAATTCCGAGAATAGGGTTCGCATTCCCACTTCGCCAAAACAAGCAAAAACAATTCTCGTCGGGAGTGAACAAGCCTCTGTCAGTGAAAACAACACAAGAAAATTTCGTGAGGACCGCACAGCCCTGGGCCAGAGAAAAACATTCAAAACTTAAAAACCTAACTGACACACCTGGTTTCGGTTGCTCGTGCTCTTTACTACTAAACCCTAAACCCTAAACCCTAAACCCCTAAACCCCTAAACCCCTAAACCCTAGATCCGCAATCCTGGAACCCTAAACCCTAAACCCTAAACCCCTAAACCCCTAAACCCCTAAACCCTAAACCCCTAAACCCTAAACCCTAAACCCCTAAACCCTAGATCCGCAATCCTGGAACCCTAAACCCTAAACCCTAAACCCCTAAACCCCTAAACCCCTAAACCCTAAACCCTAAACCCCTAAACCCTAAACCCTAAACCCCTAAACCCTAGATCCGCAATCCTGGAACCCTGAAGATTCCAGGGAATATGTGGAGCTTTCCCATGGCATGGTATGGCAATCAAAAAACCCTAAAGCCCAAAGCATCAATCCTAGAACTCAAAGCCCTGAGCGCTGAAACCCAGAGTCCTAAACCGTGAGCCCTAAAACCCTGAACCCTGCACCCTAAACCCTAAATGCCGAGCCTTAAATCGCTAAACCTAAACCCCCTTGAACCCCGTAAGGAGCAATAACCCCTCGCAAAAAAAAAAGCGTATGCCCGACCCGCCCGCAGAGTTCGGTCCCGGTTCGGGAAGAAGAACGTCACAGAATTGTTGAGCCGTTGCTGGCAGAGAGAGAGGGTTCAGGTTTTTGGGGCTTAGGGTTTAACGGAGCTCATGCGGCGTGTTTCTACAGACTTCCGTGCGGTTTACCGGTTGCTTACATGATCCAGAGTCTCTTCGTAGCAGAGCTATACCTCGGATACTCCAACTTAGGCTCCTTGTCCTGCTTACTAGGTCTCCTGATCCTTCTCGGGGCATGTAGGGGCCTTCACGGCAAGAGCTGGGGTGTGGGAGATACTGTTGATGGACAAAATCCTGCATTACCCATTATAAGGAATATACCATAGTTCGCATA